TTCACCCAATTTTAGGTTAATCGTAAATGCCAAAGCCCGGGGCATCGTTGTTGCGCCATAATCGCAGATCGTTCACCGATCCGGGACCCGATCGTCGTTTGAGTCACGTTTTAGGTGGTCACGATTTATTCTGCCCGTGACAATAGTTAAATTTGTACAAGTGGTCAAATTCATACACAAAATAATATTTTAATCAAATCATGATAACTTATAATCTAGTAATTAAATTGAAAAATGTTGATACTACGTATTAGACTCATCTTATTAAGATGAGTTTGATAGTACTAAATTATTAAGTTTTAATTACAAGCTTTACAGAAACCTGTATTTTTGCCAAATATATTTAGTGAACTATAATTTTGATTTCCTTCTAATACCCTAAAATGGAAATCTCTACTCCGCCATTTTATATAGTTATATGTTCATGTTCATGCTCATTATCGTTATTGCGAGAAAAAAAAAATAAAAAAATAAAAACCGTATCGTAATAATAACAAATTATACTAAAATATACAATAACTTTAACATTTATGAGGATTTCAGCATGAAATTTTGTATTATTTTTTGAACTTACGGCAACTTTTTTCATTTTTTTTGCCGGGTTGATTAATTGATATCTTGGATTGTCAAAGTTCATTAGAAAAAGATTTGTTGATCTTAATTTCGATTTAATTTTCGTGAACATAAAATGTGGCCAAACCTAAGCAAACATGTAATTTGTATTATATCATGAGGCTAGAATAATAGTTGGTTGAATCCTGTTATATAAGCCCCATTTTATCTTACACAAATAACCCAATTTAACTCGTGAGATAAATTTTATAGTAACGGTAATAGCCCTACTTGTTGCGATTTTATTATCGTGTAAACCTTGTACATATTTTTGAATGCTTTAGTTTTGCTAGCTTTTGTCAGTTCGCACATTTTGTCAGTTTCACATCTATTGTCACTTTCATCAGTTCATTACATTTCATTAGGTTTATACTTTTCATAAGTTTTATCATTTCGTCATTTTTTAATTGATAATAGACGAACTGGTTGATATAAATTATCTCTCAGTAGGTAAATAAAATATTGGTGTGGCAATATAAATCAATGTATAATCAAGTATCTGTAAGATGGTTTGGGCTGCGGAAGCGGCCCCAAATATCTTCTGGATATTTGATTTATTCACTGATATTATCATTCATTACTCATTATTGGTCTGTATTATTTCACCGATAATCACTTCATAGACAACTTAGTTCACGACTATTAATTTACAGACAAAATTATTTTACCGATGATTAATTCAAAGTTTATTTCATGAACAGTATTACGACATCTCATTCATTATCGTTGGAATAAAAGGTGTACCCCTTAAGGCATTGATTCTCACTTTCCCGAAACCTGCCTTCCCGAAATACCATTTCCCCGACCCCATAGTTCCGATATTCCTTTTTCCCAACAAGACAGTATAAATTACTGATAGGAATTTTTTACCGAATCCTGACAATCAATTCCCCGACAACCTGTATTGCCGAAAAATTCAGCGTATGGTGTTTTAGTTTAATGTGTCAGTAGGCAAAAAAATTTTCCGAAGCTTTTCAACGAAAAACATTTTGATATATTTCTGCGAAAGGATGTTTCTCCGAAAAGATGTTTTTCCGAAAAGATATTCCCCCAAAAAAATTTCCCAACAAGAAGTCTCCTCGATTGAACAAAATTGCCATCTCAACATAAACCAGGCTAACTTTGTTGGTGAAATGGCTGTCATTGAGATGGTTATTAGGTGATCCAGAACTTATAAAAATAACTGTAAATTCGGTAAAACATTCTTCGGTAAAAGAGCTTTCAGTAATATATTTTCAAAGAAATAAAATGGGATGTCAGTATTATGACTTCGTATTTCAGTAATATTGATTTCGGGAAGTTAACCCGTAAAGATATAGAGTATCTTAAATCAGTTGAAATTTGTGAAACCCAAAATTACCAACCAATCCAACCAAAATTTTTCAAAAAAGTAACTAGACGCTTGAGTTGTTTGTTTAAAGGGAGTTAGAATAGAGTATGTATTGTATTTACTGTTACAAATTTTGTTATATATGCAATTCTCGATTTCATATTATTTATAGCAAAACAGATAGAGCTTTGTATTGATGATGAGAAATTGTTGGTGTTTATTTTGTAGTCTTTACTATAGATGCTGGTGAAATATGGTGAAATGTGGTGAAATAATTCACCACTACTGTATTGATGAAATTGATGGTGAATTTGTGAAATTAGTGAAATTAATTTCACCAGCATCTATAGTCTTTACACATTATTTGTTATTTTGTGGTGTTATATTAGTACAAATTTTTTGGACGAGATTTTTATACACTATAAAATTTTATTATTTCAATCTTTTATCACAATTAAGTAGCTAATTTTTGCCTTATTTTTTATTACAGTTAAGTTACTAATTTCTTGCCTTATTTTATAGTTTAATTAATTTTATTTCCAATTAATTACAATGCGTTCTATATTATACTATTTATTCATCATTTATCTATCACTAGTGTGATACGGTAACTACCATACTGTATGTGATTGAATTTGCATCAGAAATATCAAGATTTATATTGTTAGTTGAATAAAAAAATCTGCTACAATACTTACTATTCCAGTGATCACAGCATGTAGATAAGGTTGAGCTAGTTTGTATTGGGATTGACATTATTTTTATCATGAGTCACTGAAAAAATTATGCTACAGAACTTACTTGCTATTCCAGTAACCATAATATGTAGTTAAAGTGAGTTGATTTGCATTAGAATTATCATGATGTTTTTTATTACGGATTATAGTAAAAAAACTCTATTACAGTACTTGCTATTCCAGTGACCATAATATATGGTTAAGTTTGAGTTAGTGCGCCTTGGGATCGCTGTAATTTTTACCAGTTACTGTAAAACTTACGAATGATAGTGTTTCCTTTTTTCGGTAGAAAACAAAATGTGCAGTGATTTTGAACCACATATCGTGATTTTGCATTACAAAATTAATCAGACAATTGGTCACCAAATGCAAGCATTTTGTCCCCAAAATTAAATTTCAGTTACCAAATTATATTTTGGTCAATCAATGTTAAACCTCGAAAAAATCTGTTGAACATCGCGTCTAACCTATCTTATCACTCTCGACGCATCTCATTAAGCATAAAAATTGTTAAATGCGCATCATAATTTTGAAATTTAATTATCTCAGTCAAAATCTATATTTACATATTAGTAATCAAAATTTTCAAATTTTGGGGTAGTTAACAAATGCGCCGTAATGGAACCAGTTTGGAATCATAGAACATGGTCCACAAATATTGGTTTGGGACTCAGAATTTGGTTCCAGACCACCGTGATATAAACTATATAGATATGACAGCTAAATTAATAAAAAAAACGCATCTCTTTCTGCTCCGATCAAAAACTGAATATATCTTATATATAACTATCGTCATCCATGATAACCTTAAAAACTGTTATACTCTTAATTAAGTGGGTTGCTAACCAGTATCGTTCTATCTTATAAGTGAGATTTCGACCCTAATAATTCCAGATTACTGTAGCCCAATGCCTATAACCCCAAATTCTACGGCACATATGCTACTTAATTACTCACACGACCCCAATATAACGACCAAGATCATATGCCTTTCAGACGAAAAAACAGCCAACTAACTAATCTTCCTTTATATATTGTAACCTTGAGCTAAATTGACACAACACCACTCACATGGTACAGGAAAATGCTTATCATATCCTTAAAAGTACACCGTGTGTATAAATATCTGGACAATTTATTTATTGGTACACCATTCTAGCAGCCAACCAATCAAATTATCTTATGATTATTTACTGCGATTACGTACTACAAACGTAATAAATACTTCTGCTAAAAATGTAACTTTGGCTCCATTAATGTGTTATAACTATCCAACGTAACTCTTCTTTTTTATCAACAATGTCAAATGAAAATATACGAAATTATTACAATAATTCAGAAGGCGACTATCATAAACAAGACTTTAGTCCTTTACAACATCAAGTACTACATAGTATTGATGAATCTCGGGATTTCATAAATAAAAAAATAATTGATGAGTTATGTCAATTACATGAAAATGAAGCATTTAAAGGAAGTTATGACTCGGAGTTTATTAATACTATTGAAAAATATTTAGAAAATAATCAAATAAAATCAGAAGATTTAATTAATTTATGTTTAAATAATCAAACAAATTCTATACTTTTAACTATTCTTGCACGTTGTTATCGTTATGGAAAATGGGTTGAAAAGGATGAACGTAAATCATTCATTTATTACAAAAAATCCGCTGATTTGGGAAATTCTTGTGGAATGTGTGATCTTGGTCAACTATATGAAATGGGAATCGGTGTTGAGGAAGATAAACATGAGGCATTCATTTATTACCAAATGTCTGCTGACATGGACTGTCCTTGTGGAATAGATAAAATTGGTTATTGTTATAGAAATGGAATAGGTGTTATAAAGGATGATAATAAGGCTCTTTTTTATTATAAAAAATCAGCTGATATGGGACATGCTAGTGGTATGTTGTATCTTGGCTATTGTTTTCAATATGGAATTGGAATTGAGAAAGATGAGCACGAGGGATTTATTTATTATCAAAAATCTGCTGATTTGTGCAATGCAGGTGGATTATTTAATGTTGGTTATTGTTATCGTTATGGAATTGGAGTTAAAAAGGACGAAAGTATGGCATTCATTTATTATTTAAAGTCTTCCGAAATGGGTAATGCTAATGGAGCATACAGTGTTGGTTATTGTTATCAACATGGAATTGGAATTGAAAAGGATGAAAGTAGAGCATTCGTTTATTATCAAAAGTCTGCTGATATTGGTAATGCTAATGGAATATCTCAAATTGGTTATTGTTATCGTCATGGAATTGGAATCGAAAAGGACGAAAACAGGGCATTTATTTATTATAAAAAAGCTGCAGATAAAGGAGCTTCTGTTGGAATGTACAACGTTGGTTATTGTTATCAAAATGGAATTGGAGTCGAAAAGGATGAAAACCAAGCATTCATTTTTTATAAAAAAGCTTCAGATTTGGGAAATACTAACGGAATGTACAATGTTGGATATTGCTATCAAAATGGAATTGGAGTTGAAAAGGATGAATATAAAGCATACCTTCATTATCAAAAATTAGCTGATAACAAATGCTGATTAGGAATACAAAACTTTCTTTATCGAATTATTAGCAGGTCAATATTTCTTGAACTTTTATAAACTTCTATTAGATTGTCAGTTATCATTTCTAAATTTTTAAAATACATAAATTATAATATATATAAATATTATTAATAAATATTTATTCTATATATTTCAAATTGTAATATTTTTAGTTAAGTAATTAATATCTGCTGATAGATGTGATTGTTTTTGCCAATAATACTTAGTAAAAATAATAAATATCTTAATAACTAGTAATACAAGGAGTGTGGTCCTGAAATAATTTACAGATATGGTTTACAGACATTAAGAATAGCGTGTGGACAAAGACCTACATTTAATTGGATAGTATGGTTTTAGTTAACCATATGTTGCAGTATTGACAAGCGTTTACATATCTCAAGAATAAACTTTCAGAAAAATCTTAATCCTGAATGGATATTATATTGAAGCAGACAATCTTTAATTTTTATGTTACAAGAGTATATTATTTGAGCATGCATTGTTTTGTATTGAAAAAGAAACTCGAGAAAAGGATAGTGTAAAGCTAATATGCGACTGGTGAAAAGTAGATGATATGCGATAGTTAGGTCACATAGACCATTCTGATATTGGATTTACACTATTCATTTCTTGGATTCATCACTCCCTTTTAGTACGTTAGTATTTATTATTTACTATTCCATTTTGGTATATACTTTGTAAACATTAAATTATAATTTATTTTTACTGGATTCGGTCTTTAAAAACCTGTAAGTACAATAGTAACATCTATCACATGTAATATATATACTAATCAGATTTTTATTCGATAAATAATAAATGTTAAACTTGAAATTCATTTTCTTTTGATAGTGCTCAAATGATTTCTATACATTTTGGCTTTGTACATTTAACCAATCACATTTTATCTCAGTAAGTAACTTTTTTCATTTAATTTTTATTTCTAATTAGCTACCAATCTTATACTATTATACTTTACATGTATATAGTTCGTTATCATGCAAAAATTCGAATATGATATGCGATTTACAAATAGATTGGGATACATCGGGGTTAGGCAGGTATTAAGCAATAGCAATAACTGTTGCGGCTGAAGCTGAGACTTGTGGGCTTGATTTAAAAACATAAGCTCTGCTAAATCCACTTATCTATCTGTTTCGTTTAATTCTAAGCTTGTACGCTTTAACGTTTTTGATTGGCTCAGATCCAAAAATGTGATTTGAAAACGTGATCTAAGTATTATTGTAATGTCATGATTATGTATTTTGTTGATTCGAATAATATCATTTGAGATAATACAATTTCATATTTTTTTTTTTACAATTTGATTATTTGGATTGTCGGTTTAAATATTTTTAATTGATTCTTACTTTAAAAGACTGCAAGTGAAAAAACTTAAAAGAATAAAAAACGTAACTGAGAGTTACGATATTTTGTTATATGGACAAAGGAAAGTGCATAATTGGAACGCTTTTTGTTATGCGGATAACCGAAAATGCATAGTTGACATTTTTCATATCAAGTGGCATGTAATAAAAAAAATTACGACTACAATTTCAAACTCTTGTACAACGAAAATATTTTATTAATATTTATAGCAGCGCCAGTAATCGAGGCAGCAGTCACATGATTTCCGACCCAAACTTTTCGGAAATCCTTCAAATGAGCTTTTTTTTGATCATCTGAACTTTTTGAAAGAGGTGTTTTCACTTCCAAATCCTGAAGCTCAAAAAAAATAATAAATAAATAAAAATAAAAATAAAAGCCAGAAAATTTCCGAAAATTTAGGGTCGGAAATCATGTGACTGCTACCTCGATTACTGGCGACGCTGATATTTAATATACTATCTAAAATTGTAACCAATATATATCTTATTATTTCCCCATTTTTATATAGTTGTATCAGTTAAGTTCTATATATATACGCTCAACATAGAATGGGTCTGCATTATTTCACTGACAATCACTTCGTAGACGCCACATTTCACCGACAAGTTCATTTTACCGACAGTCTATTTCACCAAATCTCATTTCATCGACAAATTTTTTTTCTAACTTTAACTTTAATTCTAACCTAACCCTTACTTAGTCTGTAAAATGAGCTTTGGCAAAATGAACTTGTCGGTGAATAATTGTCGGTGAAATGTGGTGTCTACGAAGTCACGTACCAAACAAAAAATCAGTTACAGTTTAAACTCAATCAAATTTATAGTTCCGATGGTTCAATATGTACAATAAGCATTAGGCCGTTCGAAGTTAATTTTTCGGTTAACATCACCCCTCCCCCCTCCCCTTTGATGCCCCCGGTAAAACGAACATATAAAAAAAGTAAAATTTAAAA